TATACCGGGAGAGTAAAAAAATGGTATTCGGAAACAGTCTATCATTTACCTAGCTAAAAACTTAGAATTTTAGAGTTAGCCGAAATCAACTAGCACTTAAAATATCTACTTTGTGACATAAATCTTCTTCAAATTCACTCTACCTTTTAGAAGTCGGTGAAGTAATTTATTTAAATGAAGGATTTGAGAGGGAATTGGTCACTCGCCCTGTCCAAGCGGAGGGTGGAGTAAAGCGAAGGCTCGACATTTATAATTCAGCGGCGGCTGCTAATCTTGCTTATTTGTCCACGTTGTTATGGCATTCGTTAGCCCTTGCACTCGGTGCTTCGCTTTAAAATTTTAATACATGTACCTTATGGGGTGAGGATTTTAATGGTTTTTGAACAAAGTTCTTGGTGCAAGGTTGCAACAACTTACAGCTAGCGTCAGATTAAGGTGTCAGACATGCTCTTGCAATGACCACTAGACTTATACCTACCCCCAAATAACAAAATGGTTACACGAAACATGACATTGTGTATTTCGCGAACGAACAAAGGTTTCATATTTAAAGCCGAGCGCTGCGTATGAAGGGTCGGAACTAATTTGTTTGTGCTGAGGATTTAGCGTTGAAGTGGGCATTCGCTGGGCCAGGCAAAGGGGCACAAAGGAGAGGCATTTGTAATTCAGCGGCAGCCGGTAATCTTCCTTATTTGTCCACGTTTGCCTTCTTAAGTTTGCACACTGCTTTAAATATGTATTTGAATTTTACATAATGAAAGATAGGCTCGCCTAATAAGTCCACATTTCAGAAGTTTTTCCTGTTTTTGATATAAAAATGTCAATCATCGTTAAGCTGGCTAAGCGCAAGACCGATCGTTGTGTCTGCCTTGGAGAAGGCCTTTGTCCAGCAGTGGACGTCAATTGGCTGAAACGAACGAACGTTATAGAATTAATATTGTGCAAATGGTTAGAATGTAATTGCAGAATTTGTACCTATTTATTAATTAATACAGTACAAGCCTTTTCGCCGTGCTTTTGTATCTCACTATCATGTCATGGTCAAAATTTATTTTCACACATCAGACTCTACATTTTTATTGCAAATTCTCTTGTTATAACTACACAATAGATACCACTGTGTGTATCTTGACGTCTTGTAATTAATTCTATTTAGCATTGGTCCACCTTTCTTCGGGTCCACTAAGCGCCCCTGATTACGGAACGGAACGTAGTTAATTTTACGCTTTTGTCTCGGTCACGCAATCAAAGCGGGCTTCACAAACAGAGCGAAGGTATTTGTGCCAGCTATAGGAGAATAGGGATGGACCACGTCGGAAAAAAGGGATAGCGCAATAATACGGAAGGTATTTGTGTGTTTTCTTTTTAAATGTGGGCTACAGCACTGTAATGTACTATAGTACAGCAGTTACTGCAGTGCATCAGGGATGCTGGCAGAAGCTGGAGTAGACAGCATAGCAGCCATTTTAAGGAAACGCACGGCGTTCCTGAGCCACCGTGTGCGTGGCAACTCCAATAGCCTCCTCCATAGTGTCGTGGCGAGACTGGACGTGAACATAGCCATTATGCAGCACTGGACACGCGTCCACCTTGCCAAAGACACCAAACTGTCGTATTTTAATTGTGTGTAAATATTACGATTTACTAACATAGTTTCTATGACCTTTGTTAATAACACTTTTATGGCCCATTCCTGAAATGCTTAAATAACTTTTTTTTTTAATTATTAATATGTTTTTTTAGTAAGATCACTAAAACATTACCTACTCAACATCTGCATGTCCTCCACGATGAAGCATTTAATATGTGATGTTAGTTTTCGCGTGTCTCGTTTGTAGCTCGTTAAATTGTTAAGTTCTCATGTCTAAAAACTTGAATGATTTATTAATTCCTAACGCCATGCTTGTTTAAGTTTCCACTTATCATGCCACCTGTTGAACTGTGATGTATATCTTCTAGTAAATAGACTCCTAACTGTACCCCTTACCCTATGCCCTGCAAATGTAAGTGTCAAGGCTGGCCCAAGATTGGCCGTGAACTGCGAACTACGCTGTTAAGTTGAAATTAACTGCTTTATCGTAATTACAGCGTAATAGCGTTGCCGACGCGTAACTGCTAACTATTTCCGCGCCAATTGCCTGAAAGGGCACCACCGACCTACAAAGAAGTAGTGGAAAGGAATTTTCATTGTTTATATTATATTTCTACTTTTTAGATGGAAGTATGCACTACTTTTGATGTTGAACAAAGGTTCTTTTCACTTCCAAAAGGGTTTTTATTTACATAATATGAATATTTCTGATGTGGCATAAATTAACCTAATAAGACATTGCATCATAAATAAACAAACAAGAACCACACATACATTTGCTAAAGCCGTGATGTTGCCTTTGAGAATTATTAAACAGTAATTACATTATCCAAAAACTCGTTAGCCACCGGAACGGAGCCCCTTGGACGAATTGAAATAAAAAAATCGCGGTCCGGCTGTTGTGTATGAAATAGAATATTTCCATATTAATGCGGGCAGCCCGCACATCCGGCTTCTGTACATTATTAAGTGCAGCGTTAGCTCCCCGGGGAGTCCGCCATTTTGTATGGCCGCCATTTTGTTTACTCTACGCTCCCGCCAAAACGGCCCGGCGGGGTTCGCGGCTTTAAACGTTGTTTAACACGCCGTATTAAGCCCTAATGATGTGGTTTAAGTTGGTGAATTTTTAACGTGTTACGAGTCTCGGATGGCGTGTTGATTTATATTTTTATTTGACTTGTAAATGGCTATTACCAGATTACCTAAATGTGGGAGAGTTAAATCGCTTTTATTGGTTTGTGAAGGAGACCAAAACTCCTACATAGCGTAAATAAGTTATTGCAGTACATTTTCAGTATTGCATGTGATCATCAACCATAAACAATCTAGGTTGTTATTATGCAAGCGATAAATATCACGAATTACGTTTTGAATTCGATATTAAGTGAAACAGAACAGAAAATTTCGGGCTAAAAAAGGTTAAATATTTCGTATTAGGTTTATTTTCCTATCATGAAAGCTTCACAAAACATTCTCCATCTGAGGGCATCTAGTTATGTAGAACTGCATTGTGAACAATAATAAATCTTTATTTATTTATTTATTTTATAGAAACCAACATCTTTGGAAAAGAGACCCTTATAACATAAATTAGAATATACTGGAATATACTCTATCTCTACATTTTACAGTATATCACGCGATTTCCACCTGTCTGAACCGAAAGGATGCTCTGCAACGAGCCAGCACACCGTCATTAATTAACATCCACTCAGTTCTTAGTTAACTCGCGACAAGTAAACATTGTTCTGTCGCATATACCCGAAGCGTTTCCTTTCTCATCCGTCATTATGTCATGTTTAAGTTTCCAGGATTAATGGGGGAGGGGTAATCCCCCTGCTATCCCACGCGCGGATGCTTCATATTTTTGCAATGGAGATGTATGCTTATCATTTGTTTAGCAGACGGGACTCGTTATTTTGCTTTGAATCGTTAAACGGCATTATTGTGACATACGTACAGGGTGTGGTCTACTGCTGATACAAGAACTTTTCGCTTAATTAATAAAGTTAAATAAACGGCATTGATGTCAAACTATAAATAAGCAGAACAAAAATAGAGAGACAGTTTTGTAATGTAAGTCGGAAAGAAGTCAGACTTTTGTAATTGTTCAGTAACACAAGTCTGATTTCTTTCCACGTTGGTCTCAATGTTGGTCCCTAAGTAAAAGTTTTATGTGTCAATCTGCCAACTGATTATTTATCGAAAAATAACTCGATTTATTTTCAGTAAACGTGGGTGCTTTGTTAGGAATTCAGTATTGTTATAGTCTGACAGCATCGTAGCGTAGCCTAGTTNTGTGACATTTGTACATAGGATTCCAGATACTAGAACAATATTCCAGTGAGCTTCGTACTAATGCACAATAGGTACTTTTTAAAGGTTCAGCATTCCTGAACGATTTACAGTTTCGCCAAATAAAACCCAGGAGCTTAAGACTTTTAGATACAATATTGTCGAAGTGAAATGTGAAAGACAGCTTACTATCTAAGATGATCCCTAAGTCGCGCATTAAAGGAACCTCTTCCAGAGTTATGGAGTTCATGACATACGAAGTATTTAGAGGTAAACGTTTTCGAGTAAACTTTATATGCTTGCATTTATCCGAATTAAAATGAAGCATATTGGTCTGAGACCACACAACAATATTATCAAGATCCTTTTGCAATAATAGTGAGTCATTAGCATTTTTGACCGTTTTGTATAATTTTAAATCATCTGCAAAAAGGAGAAATTTGGAATTTAGAATAACTTCTGTCAAGTCGTTGATAAACACTAAAAAGAAAATAGGGCCCAAATGGGATCCTTGAGGTACTCCAGAGGGGACACCAAATAAAGCGGACTCGTAACCGCACACAACTACCCTCTGAGACCTGTCCATCAAATAGGAGTTACACCAATCCAACAGANAAATAAATAAACAATCCAACAGAGTACCATGCACACCAGCGGTCTTTAATTTTTCAAGCAGTATTGAATGATTGACCCTGTCGAACGCTTTACTTATGTCCGTGTACACAGCGTCAACCTGAAGTCCATGATCGAGTTCATCAGATAGATCAGAAACGTAGCAAGAAAGATTAGTGACCGTGGACAATTTGTGTCGAAAACCGTGTTGTTGAGGAACTAGAAATGATCTAAAGAGTCTTGAAAAATGTGGACAGACCAATGAATATCTTAGAAAAATGACATAATAAAGATATAGGCCGATAATTACGCACGTCACTCGAGTCTCCGGCTTTAGGTATCGGTAGTACATTAGCAGTTTTCCAACGCAGAGGATACGTCCCAGTAGAAAGAGAGTGGTTGAATAGAATACTGAGCGGACAGGACAGACCAGAGATGCAGTTGCTAAGGAACACTGCCGGTATACCATCTGGTCCCGCCCCCTTTTTTGGATCCAATCTCCTCAATGCCTNACATCTGGTCCCGCCCCCTTTTTTGGATCCAATCTCTTCAATGCCTTTTCTACACAATCAACAGACAGGTAAATGTGGCTGAGCATAGCATCAGTAGAGAGAGTGTCATCCTGAGAATTGCCAGGTAATGGAGAACCCAGGTTGTTATGTACGAAGACAGATGAGAAATGCTTAGCAAAAGCATTGCAAATTTTCCATCGTCTAAATTAAATAGTTTCTCTATCTACCTCCTGTAATGTCAGAGCCTTAGGTTACGAACTATGGAGGTACTATTGCACCTCCTTCCTTCCCGGGGGCGCCGTAACAATTAACACCGCGTGCTGCTCACGCTTGTTTAGCCGCTCTAATTAGTACCCTGAAAGTGCTTGAGATTAGAAGGAAAAATCTTTCAAAATCTCCCCTTTAATCCTTATTCCTATGACTGTTTAGGGATATTTGGTCATTATTCCCATTGTATTTGCCATCGTCTTAATTAAATAGTTTCTCTATCTACCTCCTGTAATGTCAGAGCCTTAGGTTACGAACTACGGAGGTACTATTGCACCTCCTTCCTTCCCGGGGGCGCCGTAACAATTAACACCGCATGCTGCTCACGCTTGTTTAGCCGGTCTAATACTAATTAGTACCCTGGAAGTGCTTGGGATTTGACAGAAAAATCTTTTCCCCTAAGTCTCATACGCATAAATTGTGTAGGGTAATATTTTATTATTTACTATTGTTTTCATTGTGTTTTCAATCGTTTAGCAGTTTGATGTTTATTCATTAAATGCCAAAAAACATCTTAATCCGATGTCTTTGACACGGTTATAACAAACTAAACAACAACATAGTTATTAAAAACTAGTTAAGTTACGCAACAAAAGCTTTTTATATTATAACATCGATTCTACAGGGCATCAGACTGTACATCTTTGTTGAAAAACAGTACTTATTTCATTCTGCAGTGATAACTCAATATACTGTCGCCCTAAATTGAAAAAATAGTTCCTAAATATCTGTTTGTGTATTCACATCATAAATAACACTTCCCCTTTAAGAACATATTTCAAGCGCACTCCATAATGTGTCCCTCCCATAGCCAAGACACATTTAAAGAAGTCTCCCTCCATGTTACATCTATGAAATATGAGAAATTGCTTGTAAAGTTATTGGTAAACGATCGTTTGGAGTTAGGGTTGCCAGGCGTCCGGCTTTAGCCGGACATGTTTGGCTTTTTAGGGTCTTGTCCGGCCAAATATTGCCTTGTCCGGCCTGTCCGGCTTTTGTTAGGCTTTTTATTTGGTTGCCGCGCCAGGCGAAAGTCGAGCCACAGAATCATATGAAGCGCACGCATCAGGATGTTGGTTAGCAACCGATGATAATAGTACTCACTCATGAGCTGACACTAATTGCNCATGTCCGGCTTTTAGGGTAAAATGTCCGGCCAAATGAAACACGAAGTCCGGCTTTTGTGATTTTGGACCTGGCAACCCTATTTGGAGTTCAAGATAAAAAAAAGTATTTCAGGTTATTCACAATACTTTTTTTATTAAAAAAAGTAGGTACATATTTATCAGAGAGCANCAATGCCTTTTCTACACAATCAACAGACAGGTAAATGTGGCTGAGCATAGCATCAGTAGAGAGAGTGTCATCCTGAGAATTGCCAGGTAATGGAGAACCCAGGTTGTTATGTACGAAGACAGATGAGAAATGCTTAGCAAAAGCATTGCAAATTGATAGAGGCTCGTCATACTTATCGTTACCTAAATGCATTACATTGGGTATTGACTCGGTATTCTTACGCTTGTTTTTTATAAATCCCCAAAAGGCCTTCATGTCGTTATTACTAATAGACTTTTCAATTCTACTCATATACTCATTGTAACATTTTTTAATTAACAGATGACACCTAGACCTCGCCTGTTCNACCAACCAATAATCCAACTGTTCACAAGAACATCACTACGCCGCGTACCCCACCGCCCGCGCCCGCTGGGCCCCCGCGCGCGCCTGTCACATCTTTTTTGGTTTTTGCATCGTTCACCATCAGAGAAACTACGCAATTTAATGTATTTCCTTTTTAACAAGTAGTAAACCGTTTGAAACACGAAACAGTGTCTCCTTCATCGAGTAGATATCTATAAGAATCCCGAACACCAACATAAAACTTTTCTTAGAGAACGTAACTATAGCCCTGATATCAATGAGCTCTCAAATAACCGTAAAATATTTAGTAGCTTTGACAACAATATTAATTTACAGAGACATACCTAGTTACATTGAATTTTCAAAAAAAAAATTAAGGGAGAATCGCATTTTAACAGCTCATAAAAAGTACATCAATTGAGTAATGAATGAATTTTTTTTTAAAGTGATGGGACTACTGACTCAATTTCTATTTCGACGCATCCATCAAGGTGACGTCACGTGTCGGCGATTTGAACGAATTTTCGGCGTTCCAAGCGAATTTTTCGGCGATCGTGATAGGATTCTGGTTTTATGATAATTTATTAGTTTTAGTCATCAGTGAAGTTTGTGTAACCTTTTGTAACATGAATGTTTACAGAACTTTGATCTTTGTGACATAAAGCTAATTATTAGCTTTTATACTGAACTAAACTCTTTTTATTAAATTAATAATAGGTAGGCTTGTTGCTACATGTATTAAAATATGGCTGTATGTATTTGTATGTAATAAAATCTAGAAAAATCTGTTAAAGTATCTAAGCTTTTAAATTAATTAGGTAATTTAATGAGCTTCACAAACAAAAAGTTGCTTAATAGGAAGTTCCAATTTTTCACTACCTATACAGGCTTAAAACAAACATATTTTCATATATAGAGTATAAAATTAATACACACTGTATTTTAATGCTTAATTCTTAATATATTTTACATAACGTTCTGTCCCCATTTGTCGACGTTTTCAAGAATACACAATAGTCTCCTTTCAAACTACGCAGTTTGCATACAATCGCGCGTATCAGTTTCCTATACGGACGTTGATCTGGTGAACGGAAAAGTGTAGAAGAGATTCAAAATAAATATTAGGTTTTAATACCTTTTCCGCGACAGAGAGAAGTCGGCATTAGGTAAGTATATTCCTTATTGTTCCCATATTCTTCTGATTATTTAACGATTTTTTTTCGTTTATTATTCTGATTATATTCGTTACGGGTTTCGAGACTGTCACCTAACCCTCGGGACTATTCAACCTTCCCTGGATGGGTTTCATTGGAGACCAAACTGTATTACAGGAGGCAGTGGACACCTGGGAAGTGTTTGGATAGTTACCTAATAATATATTTTTAATGCAGAACAAATCAGGTATTTGACCTTAATCACACCTAATTTTGATTCCTCCTTTGGGCTCTTGTAAATTGTGGGACTTTCGTGTGTTGTAAGACTGACTACCTAATTTCAAGAAGCTCTTTGTATTCCAAACTCAATATTTATTCATCAAGATACACATCTACGTTTCTCTCGTTCTCATCTAAATCCGATTACAATCCATTTTCAATCGTAAAAACCTTAGGGACCAAACGTGTTCTTTGTCACACACAAAGGAAGCGAAAGGCTTCATTTTATACGCTGTCTTTTATGTCCTTTTAAATAAATAAATATCTGACAGAGCTGTAGGTCCGGTAGGGTTGCCAGGTCCAAAAACACAAAAGCCGGATTCTGTGCTTAATATGGCCAGACATTTAAATATATTATCTTACCTTCTTACCTATACAGGGTGGAAACGATAAGTGATCTCATTCGATTATTTCTAAACTATACAAGATATCGAAAAACTGGTTACTGATCCTGAAAGTGCTTCACGAGCTCTATCCAACGGTACCAATAATAGGTTACAGAATTAACTGGATCTATCCGAAAATTAATTGTTTTCAGCTTCCATACATTTAGTAAAACCACATAATATTAAAAACTATACAAGATATTCAAAAACTGGTTACTGATCCTGAAAGTGCTTCACGAGCTCTATCCAACGATACCAATAATAGGTTAACACAAAATTAACTGGATCCATCCTAAAATTCAATGTTTCCAGCTTTCATACATTTAGTACAGCCACAGTCATGGCACTCATGTCTTGATAATATTATAGCAAGTAAAGCCTAAAACCAATGTTTTCCATGAATAATTTTAAATAAGAATGCAATTTACGAGTTCATTTTAAGTGTTTATTGTTTAATAAAAAAATTAATACTTCTAATTTTGTTAGACTGGCATACATTTAGTATGGAGTCTGAAAACATTTAATTTTCGGATAGATCCAGTTTATTATGTAACCTATTATTTGTACCGTTTGAAAGAGCTTGTGAAGCACTTTCAGAATCAGTAATCAGTTTTTCGATATCTTGTATAGTTTAGAAATAATCGAGTGAGATCACTTAACGTTTCCACCCTGTATGTATACAACAAAGTACGTTCGCGCACGCACGCACACACACACATACACACACACACACACACACACACACACACACACACACACACACACACAAACACGGTCCAATTATGCATAAATATTATAATTTTCATTTATTTTCTTTTTCGTTGTGGATTGACAGTTGAGGTCGCATATGATATAAATACAGTGTGAGTCACGTTAAAGTGTACATATGAAAATAGATGAAACAAGACCTATTTTTATCGACAAAAAAGAGGTCAAAAAATTTTTGAGATTTTTTTTTAATTTTTTATAGAATTTTTTTCTTTCAATTACTTATTGNGCCTGTTCGAAATCAAATATATCAACGGGGTTGCCATACCGTTTGACCCTTTTCCTTAATTTATCCTTCTCCTTCAACAACCTAATGAGATTCTTCGAGTACCAAGACGGGTACTTGGTTGAACGACAAGACAGCTTAGGGACGTGCCTTTCTATGGTTGAGTTTACTAATTCATAGAAGATATCCACCATGTCGTCGATAGAATTGGCTTTTCCAAATTCAAGTTCCCAATCTATGCAGTTCAGATCATTATTGATTGCAGAATAGTTTGCCAACATGAAATTATATTTACTTGAGTTATTTTTTTTCAAAAACTGGCACGTTGAGAAAGGGATTGAAATTACAATGGCTGGGTGATGCGAATCAGGAGCTACAAGTGGGTGGATGATATTTTTGACATTTATAAGATTGTTGTTATAAAGCACCAGATCAAGCATCTTGTTATTTTGATTACGAATATTGTTAAATTGTGTCAAATTGTGTAAAGACATGAAATCCGACAGTAGATGGGAGACAGTACAGTTTTTAGATTGCAGAGACATGGCTGAAGAGGCTCGCATATGGTTCTTGATAGGAATCCACTCAACGTTTCCCAGATTAAAATCGCCGACAATTAGTAAATTTTCGGTATTTGGCAAGGAACTAATACCGTCCATAACAACGTTGAGCTGAGAATCAAGTTTGTCTATGCTAACGGGCGGTGGCAAGTATATAGCACATATAATAAGTGTGTCAGAGGGACTTTTAGAATCCGTAACGGATATCCACAAATCTTCGCCGGGACCTTCTAAGTGGGACAGTCGACGCGATTGAAGACGCTTGGACACAGCCGCCAGGACTCCACCACCATCGCTCTTGGCAGACGCCGTGGTTGCGCGATCTCTGCGGTATATACGATAGTTATCGTTAAGTATTTCGGCATCAAATACACCGCCGTTCAGCCATGTCTCTGTGAGTATTATGATGTCATAACCGTAGTTAAGACTAGATACATACAAATTATGCAATTTACCACGTATACTCCTAACGTTTTGATAATAAATACTTAACTCTTTTAAGCCTGACAATGTACAGAACTTATATTAAAAAGAAAAAGAGGGAAAAGATGAAGACCCTATTTTAACAGCGCCTGTAGTGCCTCGGTGTCGCGAACCCACAGTACGGGAGATTGGTCGTCCTTTCTCATCAATATGCGGCCATTGCGGACCCAAAGATATTTGTAATCGTTGTCCTTTCTGAATTGACGAGCCTGGGCATGTAGGGATCTGTTGCTTGGAGATAGGTGTTCACACACATAGATCTGCTTTCTGTCTCCTCCATAGCCCAGCAAAGAACTGTGTAATTTTTCCTTAGGGTGGGATTTATTGTAATTTAAACAAGCAGCAAGCAAGTTGTCTCGTACACGGGTCGACGGCAGCTTAACAATGACGGATTTGGGCCTTGTTGACTTAGGGTTCAACCTAGCAACTCTAGTGCATGATAATATGTCCTTTTCTTCTAATGGGCAAGATGATACTTTACCTAGTTGCAAGACCGTACTCAAAAGATTTTCCTTTGGGTTTTCCGGCAAACACTGAATCTCGAGGTTGCATTCACGGGCCTGCTGTTCGATTACTGCCAATTTATGACTTAGTTCCTTGACGTTTTCACTGAGCCTGGTATTCTGATCACGGAGCACAGATGTTTCAGTCTTCAGTCTTGACATCTCCGACTTCATCTCGTCGTAAGCTCCGGACAAAAATTCTATGGACTTTACCAGTTCTGGGATAGACTTAACGTCGTTGTGCAACGCCTCGATTTTGGAGTGGAAAAAATTCTGCAGTCTTGATACAATAGAAGACTCGAGCTGTTTAAATCGAGAATCCAATGAATCTAACTGGAGGGGTTCATCGACGACTGCCGCGTCCTCTTTAACAGGAGTATTGCTGTTATCGCCTTTTGATCGTGGTAACTTACACTCGGGACATTTCCATGCACTTTTTGTCTTGTTAGAAAGTTTATTATAGTTTTCCTTTGAATAACTCACGCATGCGTAGTGATAAACATTCGAGCACGCTGAACAAGTAATTTTCTCCGTAACGCTGACGATGCGGTGACATCCGTTACACGAACTCATGATGTTAAGCGATAATTGCTAGTTAATGCCGCCTCACGTCACGAATAATTTATTGATTAGTATGGCACTCCAGTCTTGTGCCGCCTCTGCATCGACGAAATCGCGTTCACTACTTTGTGGTAGGTCAGTTACTAGATAAGCGCTTGGACGGTAGAAAAATATTCACGACCGCTTGTTGCAACCAAGATATTGATGTATTACACACTGTTTGGTTTATTTGCACTATATTCTTGTAGGCAGATGAGTACCACTTCAAGTTCAGATACTGATAACACTTAAGTCCACAACAAAAACCAGGCGCTAACGCGAAAACTGAATTTATTTAACGGAGCGTCGCAGAACGTGACTTACGCGAACGGGACGGTCGGACGAAATCGGACGAACTTATGTATTTTAACATCATTATAATCGTCTTACACATTACACACCATACAAACACACATCAACACAAACCTTAGTGGTTTCCTGAATTCTGTCAAAACAAATTTTGTCTGTAATTCTTTTTATTTGGTAAATAAATGAAAAAAAACATATACTTTTACACATTCACATTCGTACTTACATCCTTAAACGTACACACACACACACACACACACACACACACACACAATACTTACCTACCTACATATCGGTATCACCTAACATAGGCGTACAGTGCGTACACCTTATGCCTAAAGGGTGATTCCATTGTCAAAGTTTGTGTAAAAGTATAAAAAATATTGTTATTGTTATAATAGAAGCTATTTTACTACGAAAATGTATGTATGTACTATCTAAGATGCTACAATGTGTAGCTTGCTTGACTTATCCAGTGGTCTTAGATAGGCTGATGAAACTTATAAAAAAAACATTCTTGGACATTTGAAACTGAGCTATCGAGTTCAAAACTAAGCAAAGCTCGTCCTATGGGTACCAGACAACGCTTAAAACATACTTACCAAAGTAAATTAACTTAAGTAAATCCTCAAATAAAAAGAAATTGCAGTTATTAATTTTAAACTTTTGCGTTAGGTACATAATTTAATTAATTTAAACAGGCTTTAACGAGAAAAAGATACCTGGAAAAGACTTAAACCATAAAAGGAAACCCTATAAGAAAATTAAAAATATCTCAACGTGACCGTAATAATTTAGACCAATTACGCGGTATTTTAATTTAATAGGCTTATTGTATAAGCTCTTATTCCTGAACTTTCATTGTTAGGTCCTATACAGAATCTTTTTTACAATATTAATTGTGTTTCTTGCTTTGTAATTTATTGTCCCGGTTAAATTAAAAGACGATTAGGAACTTTTAAAGATTTTGAGACTTTTTTGTGGTTGTTAATTTAATTTTAGGGCTAAAATAAGAATCTATTTTGCAAAACGATTATTTTCAATTAGTTACTTAATCTTATTATATTCATGAAACCCAAGACTGTCTATTATAATTACTAATTATTTAATGTTAAAAAAGATAGAGAGTGAGAATTTTGGTGAGTTTGTGTATTTATTTGAAAGTGTTTAATCATTTGAAAGGTTCATTTGATGATGATCATCATCATCATCATTTCAGCCATAGGACGTCCACTGCTGAACTTAAGCCTCCCCCAACGATTTCAGTACTGGTCGGTTGGTAGCGGCCTGCATCCAGCGCCTTCCTGCTACATTTTTAGGGTGCCGTAGTCCTGACAAGGAACCCTTAGGCTTGATTTCCTCTTACGCTGACGTCGGTCGCGTACATCGGTCGAGCGTATGAATAAACACAATGTTCTATGAAGCACCGCACTGCAACGCCGTCGCCACAGCGGCAGATGATTACATAGAAATTGTGTGTAATCGTCGTGCGCGCCGCTGACGTAGGTCACCGATGTCAGCCTAAAAGGAAATCAATATAGTTTCGATATGTCTGTCTGTCTGTCTGTCCGAGGTTTTGCTTGGAAACTATTAGCACTAGAGAGCACTTGGCTATTTTTTTTATTTAACAACAAATGTAATAAATTGTCCTTTATTTTATCAAGAAAATTTTATTCATCTCAATCGAAACCGCGCCCTGAAGCTAGTTAACACATGTTTTTGAATATCCCATTCCTTTATCCCTTCCTTTACATAGAGACTGTGTAACTCGTGTAAGAATTTCCTTGAGGCTGTAATTAAATGTAACCTCATTCACAATTATTGTGAAGAGTGCTTACAGCGTTCTATTCAACCCGTCCTTTTCTGCAGTGTAAGGTAGGAAAGAGAGCGATGATTTACTAAAGTTTATTAGGGACTTTTCACCATCAATCCCTAATTTTTAAGTGATCCTTATGATAATACTTATATCAGGCATTTTGTTTTCCTAGGGTCACTTATAACTACGGTTTGATGGTGAAAACGAGCATTATTGTACTGAATTGGTACTGGTATTTTAAAATTAATCCTATTAATTTAAACGTAAACTCATGGTAAGCACAAGGAACGAAAAAAATATTCAAAGTTTTTTTAACAATATACTCAATACTCAATACTCAATATTTTCTTACTATCCCTCTTTTTCCTAGTTTTAATAACCAAGTCATGTGTCATTGTTATTTTGTTATTCATAAAAGAACGAATCTTCGAACAGGCGAAGTCTAGTTTCTAAGGTCACCGCGGACCCTCGTCACTTGGGCACCCAAATCAGAGCCCTAGTCGTGTGGGCAAATGTTAGTCTTCAATTGATGTGTTTTCTATCTCGAGTTACACACATTTCAAGGCTTTCAGTAGATATAAAAGTACTTGTTATATAGAAGTGGAGCTTAGGAAATGTAGATTTTGCTAAGTTAAACCTTAACTTCGAGCTCCTATGTTCTTCTGATTAATTTCGTTGCGAGTTCAACGACAGTTTAACTTTTAACCGGGACAAACTTCATTTTCACTGGTTGGGTTTTTATTGGCGGTCAAGCTGTAGATCCTGGCTACACAGGAGTTGCAGCGGTGGGAACGAGAGTATAATATCATAAAAGTCTGTGCTCAGATTTAAGTCTTTTCCAGTAATAAGAATTCAACGTAATTCAATAGCTACACCCAAACATGTCAGATGCAAATTCAATCAACATAACATTGTGTCATCGTGTCAATTTGTGTCACGACGCGCGTTGTAATAACACGATGTTGTGTCTGTGAACTACAACGTCCATCATCCAAATTGACAGCAAGAGTCGCGTTGAGTCTACATTAAATGATTTTTCTAAGAAAAAACATATTTTCAACTTATTTGTGAAGTAAAAGTTACTTAAATAAATTGAGTTGGGTTGGGAAATGCCCCATTTTTCCCCTTCTTTTTGTTGTGTCGACAACAAACCTATACAGTGTGAGCCCAAAAACTCTGCTACAAGAGTGGCGTTGTCAGTAGCCTTCATTAAATCTTCCTGCGTGCAGTTGTTTGGGCACGCAGGGCACGACATCGTGTGCTTCATGGACTGGGGAACTTCCACTGGGTACATAATTAATTTTCCAGCCATCCAAGAATCCCCACTTGAACAGTCTGATATTTTCCCCTGATCCTGGTCTTATTTTACTCTGATTTCTATTGGCCAATTTGCGTGTCACAAACTATGTGATGCTAACTGTACTTCACGCGACTTCACCAGATCGTCGGTCCATCTAGCGGGAGTAGCCCACACTACGTCTTCCGGCTTGTAGTACTGTAATCTTTAAAGACCTGGAAACCAAAGTTTACACAACAACAACATATTATCATATTTCAGGAGGCTTCCCTATATTTGCGTTTTTGGTGGTTCTGACATTGTCTATTTACGCAATTTTGCACCTTATAAACAAGGACATATGAACGAATACGCGTTAAGTTGATAGAATCTATGTGCCACACTGAAGCTTCTTTCCGAAATACAAAATTATAGAGGTTCAGTAAGCTCATCCTAAAATAAATGTAAGTATCAGGCTTTTACAAGTAAATTAGATTTTTGTAATCATCATCAACTGATATCGTAATATCGAGTCTATAGAGTGCTCCTCTCTATGGCTATCTAACATAAAAATATTATTTGAAATCGGACCGGTTCCTGAAATTATTCAACTAAACACAAACAAACAAACTCTTATATATAATAATAATATTGATATGCATGGAATCATGCATTTACAGTTAGTTAAATATAACTTTGAAAATTATTAACTACTTAGAATTTGTTTAATCGTCTATTAAATTTAGGCTTTACAGGGTAAAAATGAAAAATTTTTTTCTGAGAAGTTGTACACAAAAATTACCAATTTAGATCATTTTCATCTACAAAGACGCGCCCCACCAATTTTTGGTCGAGGGAAGCGCGGGTTGCAGGGAGTTTGATCCGAGAAATCCGAGCGTCATTATTGTAGTGTGCGTGTGCACTCATGGATGATTTAGCGTGTACCGATAACACTCAAACATGAGCGGAAGAATGGTGGGGCGCGTCTTCGTGGATGAAACGATCTTTAACAGTGACAACTTCTCAATTGAAGTGGGCCTACTACTTGCACGTATTTTGTGTTGAAACGGTGTCAAGCAAATACTCGCACGAATTCAAATATTATTATTTGGTTACTCACTCTGCATACTCTACGCAGAAAGTATCGCAATTTATATTAGGGTTATGTATAAGGTTATACAGAGTGGGTTATATTAGGTCGTTTAAATGCATGCGACTGTCGTGAAATTTCGAATCTTTTGTGGTCTTATTAATATGGAATTTCTATTTGAAAAGGACTTTAATTGGCTTTAATGTTTACTTGAAAATGTCGTTATGTTATTAGTATAGCACTTAACGGAGTCAGTCCTGAGGTATGGGGGGACATTGATATATTTATTATTATGAGACAGAGCATAAAAATTTGAAGTTTTGCTAATGATTGACCTTAATTTCGAACTCCTCCTATGTTCTTCTGATTAATTTCGTTGCGGGTCCAATGACAAACTTTCCCCCGGGTCAAACTTGACCTTCATTGGTTGGGTTTTTATGGCGGTCAAGCTGTAGATCCTGGCTACACAGGAGTTGCAGTGGTGGGAACGAGAGGTGGGAATAGTCCCGC